AAACATCTTGCAAAATGTAATTGTTGTGGGAGGCAAGTTCTTTCATTTTTTTAAAAGTCTGAAGCAGAACTATTTTATTCAAGAATTTTCAAATGTGTAAATAACAAAGGCATTTTGGATGTTTTAAAGACCAGTTACAAACACCACTTACATGTATTGAAATATGTCCAGATAAAATTATTTCAGAGTAGAATTTTTTCTTGAATACACAACTATGACAAGCATTCCATGTGTATTATGGCTTAGAATTGGTCCCCAGCAACCTTTGAGGTGACTTAATGGATTGGGTGGTCAGGTTTGATGACTTGGATGATTGTGTAGCAATGGGGATCAATGCTCATAATGCCAATCACAGTCATGATCATGATCAACCATCCACTATTTATCTGTTCGTGATCTCTTTTTACCTGGATTTCACAACAGGTTCTTCTATTTCACAGTCAAATATGTTCAAGTGCTTGCCATTTGTCAGCAACAAGAATGGATGTATTCAACTGGAAATCCAAATACCCAGTAAACAAGGTCATATTTGTTTTTTAACCATGGCAAAAGTGCACAATGGCAAAGCACAATTGATCTTCTTGTCTGACATTTATGCCATTTGGAACTGTGGTGGAAGATTTTAAGCATGAATGCCAAGATGATAACTGCCCTATATATTGAATGTCATGCCAGATTACTACCAATCGGATTGCAGACTTACAGTATCAGATGGCAATAATATGTCCCTTTTTTTCAAATAAAAATCTAAAGTTAGCAACTTCTGAAACTTTGCTGTTGACATAAAAGTTAGATAATGAGATATGCAAAACATCAAAGTTTGTATGCACATTCCTTTTGATCATGATACTAACACTGCATATAATGCCCAAGTCATGAAGGGGCTTGACTGAGGGTGCAGTCAGCATGTAAGGTGTCTGAAAACAAGGGCTGCAACCCGCTCTGGATAAACACATTGAAGTTATGGCCTAATATTTCATTGGTATATCTGACTGATTGTTTCCATTTCCATATCTAGGAAGCATGAACAGATATCTGTGACCTTCCATTGAACATGGCTTGCACAATATCACCTTGGTAAGGACAGTAGTTCTATGCAAATTGCTATCAGAGACCTAAATTCACAAATGTTTGACTGTCCTAGACATGTTTGTTTGTTGTTTAATGCCTCCCTCAGCAATATTCCAGCTATATGACGGTGGTCTGTTAAAGAATTGAGTCTGGACAAGACAATCCAGGGATTGACATCATGAGGATCAATCAACGGAATTGGGATATGATGACATGCATCAGCCAAGTCAGCGAGCCTGACCACCTGATCCCGTTAGTCGCCTCTTACGACAAGCATGTGTTGAAGACCAATTCTAACCCGGATGTTCACGGGTCCTTAGACATGTGTAGCAATCTTACTATAGTACTCATGAAAATGAAAAAAAACTATTTTTTCGACCTCAGATCTTAAATAAATGCAGTTAATATACCAAATATGTTAACATTCAAGCAACTAAATTAGTACTTATTGGGCCGTGGCACAAATACAGCGTATCAAATGTTTTCATGCCTTTTCACACGTAAAAGTGTGTAAAAATGCGAAAAAAACAGATTATTGTGAAACAGGGCATAACCAGGTGTAAGTAGATCAAGGTGACCTATGACACCTTGACGACATGTGAGAACAGGTGCATAATGCCTATAGTCTGTTTCTGCTATGTCAATTTGGACTATTTTTTTTTTTGAATGTTGAAAGTGCCGACAAATTACCTCCTGTAAAGTACATTTTGTATTGTTCACTGAGATCAAACTAGCAAATCCAGACTAGTACTTTTCGAGTTGTTTTGTTATTTTGTATTTACAGCTACGTAACACTTTGTGTCGATTTTTAAATTGAGAAAAACAGGTTTTTTTCATTTCCGTGAGTACTTTAGTGTGCATCCTACTATAGAACAAGGGAGAAAATTCATATTGCAATCCTTCTAGAATGGGGTCCTACTATAGAACAAGAGAGAAAATTCATATTGCAATCCTTCTAGAATGGGGCCCTGCTATACAACAAGGGAGACAATTCACATTGCAATCCTTCTAGAATGGGGCCCTGCTATACAACAAGGGAGACAATTCACATTGCAATCCTTCTAGAATGGGGCCCTGCTATACAACAAGGGAGACAATTCACATTGCAATCCTTCTGGTGTGGGGCGGTACTACACAACAAGTAAACTACTTTTATATTGAACACGCTTGTGCGTGTGTGCATACTAGTCCAGTCTGATGCTGATTTGTAGTGCTAGCCCACTGAGATACCATGCTGCAGTTTAACATGAATACCCGACTCACACACAGGATACTGACTTTGAGCTGACCAGTCCTTGTTTTCTCCCCTTAATGCAGAGCACCAGTACCATCTTTAAACGTCTTTTGGTAAGATGTGGCTGGGGATCTAACCCCGGACCTTCCGCTCTCCAAGCAGATGCTCTACCACTAGAGTACGGAGGCGGTCGGAGCATAGAAGAGATCATGTAATAATGCCTTGAGGTGAAACACAGTGAACAGTGAGTGAGTGGTGCTTAATGTCACTTTAAACAGTATTTCAGTTACATCACAGTGTGTCAGGGCGGTTGGGCAGCCTAGTGGTTAAAGAGTTTGTTGTCACGCCGAGGACCCAGGTTAGATTCCAGACATGGGTACAATGTGTAGAGCCCATTTTTGGTGTCCCCATGGTGCTGGAATATTGCTAAAAGCGGCGTAAAACCATACTCATGCACTCATAGTGTCAGCTTAGTATGGAAGGAAAGTCCAAAGTGTGCAGGTCCAGGACGTTCACCACTTTGGTGAAACCCATCATCAAGGGTATGTTGCTGACACAGCGGAATCAGGGTTCGAAGCTTCTGTTGTCTGCTTACGACATAACTAAGGGACATAACTCCACACAGTGACTTCTTGCATCTTAGACGACTGCGCAAATCCTTGCCCTAATTGTATTGCATAAAGTCAGTGGGGTCGACAGATGAGAGAGTTTGCCTTTCCAGGTGGCTATACAAAGTTATACTCAGTAATGGCAGCCATTATGGCCAGGTCAGCACCATGTTGGAGAACCTTTGATGAGCATGGGGTATTGGGGACTTGTCTTTGAAAGAGTGAAGAAGGCTACACAAGTTTTTAGAGTGATTGAGTGAGTGGGTTGGGTTGAGTGCCACTTTTAACAGTATTCAAGTTATATCATGGCGTGTCAGCTTGATGGGGGAGGAAGGCCAGAATTGATGCAGGTCTCAGACGCTTACCACTTCGGTGAAACCCCTGAGTATGGATGGTGCTGACAAACCTAATACATAATCAGGGCGAACTGGGATTCCAATCACATAGGTTTCTGGCGTGTCCAAGGGATGCAACTCTGCACAGTGAATTGCCTCACCTTAGACGACTGCCCAGTGGGCTGTCAAAATATAATGACGGATCAATGTACCATGTTCATATACTGTATGCAAGAGAAAAACAAAACACTGATACAAATATCATATTCAAAATAAACCTGCATGATAGACAAATCAAGTTGCAGTTTTTATAAGTGGAACATCAGTTTTCAAGGGCAAGTGACTGTACCGTACATAAAGATAAAATCTATCTGATGATCTGCTTAGGCCATTATTTGTTTTATTTGTTGGATCACAGATCAGATCTTCAGATTTGCACTACTTTAATACTGGACCACAAACATAGAAAGGCTATTAAAACTGTTCTGTCCAAGCTTGAATATGGATTATTCTGACAGTGAAATATGCACAAAAAGTGTGTACCATGTTCAGATAAAAAAAGGGCATTGTGTACACCACACATACTTGATTTGCGTAAATTACATGCTGTCCACACGTAGTTATATTCACTGATAACTTAACTTCTAAGCATACATTTGGTATTGCAGTTAGAGACAACCTTCTCATTATAATTCATCTGGAAAATAACTTGTTACATGTACCAAAGGAGAAATGAAGGGCCGACATGTTGACACAGCAACTTACACAATTTAACAATAAATGTATATCAGTTTGTCCAGCTCATATGCCAAGAAGGTAAGAAATGTTCTTCTTTTCTGTTGAAAAGTTGTTTTGCAGAGAAGCTGTTATTAAAAAGTAAAGACGCGGCAAGAGTGAAAAGGGGCATATACTTTTTTTATGTAATTGTGTAATTTACACAGAAACTATGGCCCAGTATCGAAATACTCCACTGATAAAGTATGAACAGAAATTGAGGTGAGGTGAAATGGGCTTTAATGTTGCGTCAAAGATTATTGCGCTTATGTAGCGATGTGCATGCATGTGTGTGTGTGCATGCGTGAGTGCGTGCATGCACTAGTCCGGACTGATGCTGATTCATAGTCCACTGAGATAGCAGTTTAACATGAATACCCCACTCGGACACAGTATACTGACTCTGAGCCAACCAGTCCTTGTTTTAGCCCCTTAATACCAAACACCAGGCAGGGTAACAACAAGTACCATCTCTTAACATCTTTTGGTATGAAGAAGCTCTAATACTAGACCACGGAGGCAGTTTGAACAAAAAAAATTGAAAAATTGAAATATCTCCACAGATACTTTACACATGCAAAACATTTTGTGATTACTCAATGTTTAAGACACAGTGCTGAACTCGGCTTTCATATTTCACCAAATCAATCAGTCATAAATATCTGGATATCTGCATTTGAAAGTCAATGTTCCTAGATTGAGGCTGTCATTTCCATATCCAATACCCCCCCCCCCCCCCCCCCAGCATCTCAATCTGGCACCTCCGTGAGGATCTGGCTTAGAATTAGTCTTCAGCAACTCATTCTTGTCTCAGGATATTCATGATGTCAATCACTGGATTGTCTGATCACAATTCAAATTACTAGAGACCACTGTCATATAGTTGGAATATTGCTGAGTGCAGCATTTAACAACAAACAAAAACAAACATTTTGGAGGAAGAAGACCTAGGTATGAACAAACTAAAATTGTACTTACATCATATGCACCGGCCTTAATCTGAGCGTATAACCTATGTTGGTCTTCATCCCAGAAAGGAGGGTAACCCACCAACAAGATGTATAATATCACACCTGAAAATACACAATATATTTCAATGTATTATTCATCAACATGCTACTTCTCTTCTATTACTTATAATTATATTTGTTTACCTGATTATGAAATAAAGCACAAATGTAATTAACATACTGAACAAAATACCAGTCTCATCCAATCCTTGATGGTGTTGTACTAACCTGGTTCACCACTGCAACAATGCCAAGAGTTCTGTCCCTTTGATTTCAATACCATCACCATCAAGTACATTTAATACAGATAACCATGGCAACAGCTAATTATAAAAGATTAACTAGCATACATGTGTTACATGTGTCCTAAAAGAATGAATTAGGTACTTAATTATGAATAGGAAATGAATATTGAATGCAGTCATTATTACAACAATCAATGGTACACAGGAGTTGTTTCCCTTTGATCAGTCATTCTGGGATTGCCATCAACTAAAACCTTGTGTCTTCAGTCAACAAACATTGTTTCAGTGCATGTTCTACTTACCACAAGCCCAGATATCTACAGGTTTTCCGTATGGGTCTTTCCTGAGAACTTCTGGAGACAGGTAGCCAGGTGTGCCAGCGAAACCTGCAGACAGAAGAGAAGTTGTTTCAGACACATTCAGATCAATAATGACACAATAGTGAGTGAATGAGTGAGTTGGGTTTTACGCCGCTTTTAACAGTATTCCAGTTATATCACGGCGTGTCAGCTTAATGTGGGAGGAAAGCCCAAAGTGATGCAGGTCTCAGCTGTTTACCACTTCGGTGAATCCCACGAACACGAGTATGGTGCTGACAAACCTAGAAACATAATCGGGGCGAACCAGGATTCGAAACCCACAATCATAGGTTTCTGGCGTGCCCAAGGGAAGCAACTCTGCACAGCGAATCGCGGCGCCTTAGACGACTGGGCCACCCGTGCCCCCAATGACACAATAGTATGACATGAGACATACACAGCTACTACTCAGGCAAGAAAACAAGTCGTGCATGTGTTTGTGACATGTGCCACCGATGGGGCAGGATACATTCACCTTTTCGGGAACACCTGCTATCATCACTCTTTGATAGTGATTATAAACACATGCTCGTGATACAGTAGGAATTGTACAATGGACTCTGCTTTTAGTAGAGATTTCTTATGATACATGAGGGGGCAGTCCGGTAGCCTAGGGGTTAAAGCGTTCGTTCGTCATGCCGAAGACCCGGGTTCGATTCCCGACATGGGTACAATGTGTGAAGCCCATTTCTGGTGTCCCCCGCTGTGATATTGCTGGAATATTGCTAAAAGCGGCGTAAAACCAAACTCACTCACTCACTATGATACATGGTGATTATTTAGATCTATGCATAAAGATTCAGTGTGACAAAACACTATCCACAAGACTCTATGACAAGAGGGCTGACTTCGACTCTTAAACTCTTCAGTCACTTCCCTCCATGTCGTGATCACCTGTATCATCACAATTGAGTGATTCATAAACACATGCTCATGATATATTCGGAATCGTACATTTGATTTCTTATGAATGTGGAAAAGGTTTTGACACTTTTATCATTATGATGGAAATGTTTTTTGTCACTTGTATTTATTTGATTGTTCTGAGTTGCAGACTTATTCCAATTATCAAAGTGCTGTTCAAATGTTTGTTTGTGTCATCTATTGACTGATAGCAATGAACTCTAGAGCGACCTTACATGCAAGGTAAGTAAGCTAAATGAATTATCTGAATCAGGCAACGGAGAAAGTCAATAACTAAACAATTTTTATGTTTACTGCCAGCAAGGTCTTTGATTGTTTAACTCTAACAAAAAACAAAAATGGTTGCCAATAATAAAAGGGAGCTAACTCTTACCAAACCATGCTTGCTGGTCTCCTTGTACCTCTATGGCAAGGCCAAAATCAGCTAGTTTGACAGCAGCTCCTTTTGCTTTACTGGCCAGAAGCAGGTTCTCTGGCTGTAAGTGAACAGAGAACATCATAACCCGCATGTGTGGTATCTTTGAAAAAACAAAAGCTCATATAACAAAATACATACATACTTTACTGGGCAGAAGCAGGTTCTCTGGCTGTAAGTGAATAGAGAGCATCATAACTACAATGTTTGGCATTTTTGAAAGAACAAAACCTCATTTAATAAAATACATACATACTTGAAATATAGAACTGATGAAAAAACATGTGATTGGTGATTTTTGACCAATGAAACTACAGGTTTTTTCTTAATCTTAATCATCAACATCGTTTTCTGTGAACACACAAGATGTTTGATCTAATTAAATTAGAATAGTGTCTGATATTACTACTTTACTTTGTGGCTAGATTCCACAAGATAATGGGGTTAACAATGAGGTACTGAATGAAATGATATATCCATCCTTATATTCTCAGGACAGTATTACTTTTCAAACTTGGAGAGAGCAAAGTAATTCAGTAAGTTGGGGTTAATGCTGCTTGAACAATATTCCAGTCATATTGCAGCATGTCAGCTTGATGTGGGAGGTAAGCCTAAAGTGATGAAGACGTAAAAGATTACCACTTCAGTGAAACCCACGATCTTACTATAGTGCAGACAGACCTAGAGACATGATCAGGGTGAACTGCTGAGAGTAAAGACTTCAGTATTCATAAATATTGATATGATCAATGATCTTGTTATGAACAAGGAAGTACATTATAGGATCCTACTTGTGACAAGGACAGTAGTGGAGCTGACAGACCATGGCTGGGGATCAGGGATTGGAAACCACTCATTGTGGTTCCTGGGAACCCAGGACACGTCACAGCCTAGCAAACTGTGCTACCTTAGGCCAGTGGGAAACCAAGCCCTTCACTGACTGAACAGGTCTGTTTGTGTCAAACTTAAGATGGATTACACTTCAGGGGACACTGTGTCACAATATATATTACTCAAAAAAAGTTAAGGTCCACTTGATTCTTTCAAAGTACTATAGCTAATCTGTCTTGGCATGACAGATTAACTATGGTACTATGAAAGAATGGGCAGTGCTTTACTATTTTTGAGTTGGATATACCAGTGAGGCAAATGAAGCCTCATTGTGATGAGTGGTGGGCTACCAAACTGCTTCTCCTCCACATGAGTGGCAGAAAGCACCTCACATGAACACAGATTATTGCCTGTCTATGCTTAATGATACACATGTGTTGCCTTTTATCGCACTACTAAAATGGAATTGTATCTTCAAATGTGTGAAAGTATCAATATATATTTCGGGTTTAAAATTCATATTTAGACTTAAACTTGCTCATAAAATGTTCACATAAAAAATTACTTAAATCATGGAAAAACTACAGAATGCCTAAACCATGTACACAAAGGGTGTTAATGTCGTGAAGAATCGTTAAATAAAAAGACTCTTATTAAGTGATGCAATTAATACCTACTGTAAGTTATCAACCAGTTGTATGGGAATTACAGTTCTGCAACAACCAAGAACCTTCCTTTCTCTTGACAATCATTCTCTCAAGGTCTATCTCATTTAATTAATTATTACTGGTCATTATCATCCATATCATATGTTTATAACCATTCCGACATGATAACGAGGCTACTTAGCCAACAACAGACATAGACATTGGGACATGCATTAGTCCATAAGCTGTGTTACATAGCAAGGGGTCATCAATATTCAGCTGAAAAGCTTTTCAAAGCCTATTCTGATCACAGATTGTTAGTAACTGATGAAGAAGCACTTCATCATGAACACCTTATTCCATTTGATAGTTCCTTATTAAGGATGTTTAGGACAAGTAAACATGTCCAATTAAAAATTCAGAACACCCCAAAATGGAACTTGTACTTCAGTATTATTTCCAAGAATTGAAAGTTGTCTGCAATATTCCAGTGGTATGCCAAGATAGGGTCAGCCAAACCAGTGGTCGACAGCATGAGCAACCATCAACACCACAATACAACACCTGAACCTCAACAGTCAGTTCCTGAAACACGCTTTGAGATTAAAGGGGATTTATTGTTTTCCTGGTAAACTTATGGGGTGCGTTTAGTGATTAAAAACAAGCCTTGAGAGTAAAGGTGATCTAGTGTGCCTAGCAATACGTATGTGGAGCTCTTGGTTATTAAAGATATTCCTGCATTGACAAGTGACCTTGAATGGCATTTTTTTTTTCAAATCACATAACATAACACACCATGAATCACTGATATTACAACTTCCTAACTATGTGGCAGTACAATCATGTCCAAATGAAGCATATATTGGCAGGACATTGTACTGCATGGCCTTAAATGCCTCTGCTAACATGACTAAGGTTTGTATTTGTGTGAAAAATTCCAAATCAAAAGAGTTTTAATTTACTTCATCAGATAAGAGACAGTGTCAGATTGATTATCCACGAGGAAAACAAACTGTTTTCTTCCTATGTCACAGTCTAACAGTTAAAAGAAATATGTATAACAATAGAATCAATACGTGCACTCCCCGAGGTTGCAGCATCGCCATGTCACAATGATCTGGAAAGGCTTTTAGAGAGAATCCATAATTTTCAGTCTTATTCCAGGAAGTTAATCCTGCATTCCAACCATGTTTGGCGATGTACGATTTTTTGACAAGTAATTTCATAAAGCTACTGAACTTGTGTTTTCATGAATAACTCTCCGGCAATAAGCTTGTTAATTGACGTCACATCACTGGTGAGGGGACACTCGCAATGCAAACGACCTTCAAGATACTCTTACATTGTAGGAAAAACGTTTCTTGCATGATGTTTTACAGATTCTCAAGGATCTTATCAGATTAAATTTCTCAAAACACAAACCATCCCTATTGATTTCTATGAAGCTCCAGAAATAGTCTGCCATGTTGAAGCAATTATGACGCACAGTTCAATTCGACAAATCAATGCAGCTTGACGAGACCCCCCCAGTAAAATGAAAAGCTGGCAGAATGGTTACTCAGGACAGACCAGACATTTGTTTTTGAAAAACCTGAACATCTATAACCTAGCACCTCCACCTTAACGTACCCATCATAATATATCTACTAACGGCAGGACATTCATGAATACGATCATGTTGCTGAGGTGGACAGAGTTCTTGATGAACCATCAGTGAGGATCAAGTTATGTACCTGAACACAGATACCAGACAGTTCTCCAAAAATAACCTGATATTCAACATGTGTTGGAGCTAATAAATTAAAAATATGTTCTAATCCTATAAACCTGAATTGCTTTGCAATAAAGACTGTTTGAAATTTAGCTGCCTCATAAGGTTATTGCCAACAAATTTACATTTTCTCTGATTCTTTGACAGAATTTGTGACAACCAATTCAGTGCATCAATCATCTTAGACCTGGTTTGTGAAAGTATGTGTGGAAATGTCAACTGAACAGAATAATAAATATAATATGAACATTTTACAGATAAAAATACTGCTACAGCTAATTTTTTTAAAAACTAGTTAATATGTCATGGCCTGACAGATTAACTATTGACATGTGTTCTCTTGCTTCTTAAGTGAGTGAGTGAGTGAGTTGGGTTTAACGCCGCTTTTAACAGTATTTCCAGTCATATCACGGCGTGTCGGCTTAATGTGGGAGGAAAGCCCGAAGTGATGCAGGTCTCAGACGTTTAACACTTCGGTGAAACCCACGAGCACGGGTATGGTGCTGACAAAACCTAGAAACATAATCGGGGCGAACCGGGATTCGAACCCACAATCATAGGTTTCTGGCGTGCCCAAGGGACGCAACTCTGCACAGTGAATCGCGGCGCCTTAGACGACTGGGCCACCCGTGCCCCCTCTCTTGCTTCTTAAGAGTAGTATATGCCAATAATAGGTAAATACATGCGATAATAGGTAAACACATAGTGTATCATTCCCCTAATGAATTACAATGCATGTGAATGAATTGCTACATACATGAACAACTAATACAATGTTTCTCATTTCAATGTCATTTAAAAAATCCACAGATACGAACAGTTATCACATGGGTTTATTCAGTTATATCTGACAATATCTGTAGCTATATTGACAATGAACAAAGCTTTCAGCTTGTCCATCAAGTAAAAAATAATTCTGCATATCACTTCGTCATGTTAAAAACATAAATAGAGAACAGGTATGTTAATAAATTTCTGACAGAGATTTGACAACTCATTCATTATTCACATTATTCAAATCACTTATAGAAGTTGTCTGATTACTTTAGACTAAACTAAACATAAAATGTATTCAGCCCTATCAGGCAAAATAATTACCTGTTACAGCTGATTAAATGTCATAATTATTGTGGCATATATGAATTATTGAAAGGTTCGAAACAGCTGTTATCAACATGACAATTGGATATGAACAATGCATTTTTACATGATGAGCAAGCAGCTTTTAACAGCTGCGTGTCATGTGACTGGTCATGTGACTTACCTTAAGGTCTCTGTGGACAATACCATGTAGATGACAATAATTAACACTCTCTAATATTTGCTGCATGCAGTGACTGAAAGATAACATGGGAACAGCACTTCAGCATAAGCTTGCCTCTACAGTAGTATCTACATATCACAAGACAACATGCACCAGCCAGCGCTATCATCATCATCATCATAGGTATATTGAAAGAATGCTGGTTAGATAAGCCATCATCATCATCATCATCATCATCATCATCATCTTCAGTATACTTCTTTGAAACAATGTTGGTTAGATAAGCCATGCATATCTGCATAATGCTTTTACATTATTTACAGATGAGAAGTTACATGCTCAACTATAAGATTCTTTATTCTTGTCCATCTGAAGCATAAAGTGGTCTAAGTGACGAAAATAGTAACTATATATTCATAATAGAACTATTGTGTTGATTATTTTGACCAAATAACAATGTCTTTGTATGTATGTAATTAGGCATACAAGAGTAGCTTGCCAAAATGGCATTCTTTAAATAATTATATCAATTTTTTGGGGAGCAATTTGAACTCTAATTCACTTCTCAACCTATATCTATTATTTACATGATACAAATCAGTATACATGTGTATAGTACACGAAACAATATCCATCCTACAAAGAATATCCCAACAGTATGCACATGAACAAGCTCCGGGGACATATGAATGATGACAGCATTGTGACACGTTGTGTTTACTTGCTAAAGGACAGTGTTGACACACAGCTGACATTCCTAACAGTTGGAGGAATCAGCCTGAAGACAGTGTGTCGTACAGTCAATCACGGCAATGGTTCATATGCTTGATGAATAATAACTCTGGCTGTTGCATATTTTCTTCATAGTACATCTATACTTAGATTTCCAATCTAGGCCACAAACTCATTCCTACACATCTCCTGCATATTCATTACCTGTTAATATATATAACTTGGGATTCTAAATCTACTTTTAAATCAACTCTTGCAATTATATAGTTTGGGAAAAAATATAAAAAGAACATTTCAATGTTTTATACCACAATTGAAGATAGAGATATAAATTCATAATTCATTTATTGTTTAAAATGTCTTTTGAGGATTTCACAGTACATTAAGTACCAGAATGTAGAATATTAGAAGGGCAGTTGAGGAGAACAAATGTCCATCTTTTTGATTTTACAAACCTAATATTTCATTAAAAAATGCATTTATATTATTTGTTCAAAGGGTGTTTTGGTAAAAGAAAATCTTTGCATTCTGAGGACAAGCATTTTATATAAATCTGGATATAATAAAATATGAGTTGGCCAGAAATGGACATTACAATCAAAATGAGATGTACTGATCATTATGCACTCAAGAAGGTTCATAACAAGACCAAGTGCCAGTTTATCAGTGACAAAACCCTTTTGGAACATACCAATGATTAACTTGAAAAAGCTACAAAAACCTTGATGCTTCCAACTCCTGTTGACAATGCATAAAGTGTTAGTTGTCATGCAGAGGAATATGCAGTAGAAACCTAGGGATGAGTATGTGGCTGGACCGAAGCATACTAGACAGTCAACTTTTTGTCTACACTGGTGATTCCATGCGTTGGCCACGGCACGGACACCCACCTTCAAGTCACGGTGTATTACATGGTTTTGATGACAATGGTTAACACCCTCAAGAATCTGCTGTATACAGTGACTGAAATAACGCAGGGGAAATCCGCACATAAACAAATCTCTTGGCTTGTCATTTCACCAATAATGTGTTCAGTGACATGTCATGGAGGCTGTGAAGCATCCTTTGACAGTAATGTCATGTAAATGTTTCATGACATGCTGACAAACATATACCTCTGCTTTGTACTTTGTACTTGAATGTCACACTCAGCAATATTCCAGCTATATGCAGCCTGCAAGTCTGGACCAGACAATCCAGTGATTGATATTATGACATACATGGATATTGAGCATAATGACACGCTATCACCACACCTGACCAAATAACCCAAAGTCCATATGACCAACATAGGTAGCTAAGGACCTATTTACACCCAGAATCCCCATGGTGTTTACTGTGTTGTCTAAATTTGGACAATAATATTTTTAAGACAATTCTTTGAAGTACCAGTTCTGGAATCAGATGCATAATACTTACTGTAGAAACATCAATCAAAACTATTGATTGTTAAATATATGCTTGCTACACCCACCTAATACATCTCACACAAACATATCACAGTGTTTACTGCTACTGGGAAAATTCAAATAGTTTCCAATAAAGGACACATACCAACAATATCACTTTCTGGTTAAAACTAGATTCATTTCAACAGAACTATTTGAAGCTTAATGTCAGAAACAACAATTCTGATCATGATAGATGATGCCTAAGGCAACCGATGTTGGATCGACGCTTTCATGGTGTCACCAACTGATGCCTGAATTTATAAAATGACCCACTTAGAATGGGAACCCTTTTATACTAGAAATGCTGAAGGCATATACATACTGTCTGGTTTCAAATGGTTTCCTAGTAACAGTTAATAATACACCACAAGACAGCACATTCCTGATTTGCACTGATCATTATTTCTTTGGTACAGGTTAAACATAAATAGCTGGTGATTACTTCAGAAAAAGTTGTACTTTTTAGATGTTTCAGAATTGGAGTGCTTTAATGTACTGAAATATGGGAATACTGCCATTAAACGTGTAATCCGATTCAGCGACTGAATCTTCTTTACAAACTTAATGAGAATTTACTCATGGGAAAATAATTCTCTGTCAAGGAAAGGGTGATAATTCTTACAAAAATATCCTGAACCACATTTGCTATGGATTGAACAAGCAAAGATAAGCTGGACTTTCCTCCTTGTGTGTCAAAAAATGCTACAGAATAGTTCCCAAAACGTGTCATTATCAATACTACCGAAGAACAACTTATGAACTCTTTATCATGATAAACATGTTTTATGCAAGAAATGTACGAAAATCACGATTTGTTGTATTTGTAGATGTCAAATGGTAGCAAGTGTGTAATGTGTTTAAGCAGAGACAATGTTCTTCTTGTTAATGCCCATCCAATATAAAGTCTGCAATGAGGTGATAAACCACCCTAATGTCACGTCTGGAAATTGAGTTTAAATTACCTGGCGTCAGCCTCACTGTAGAATTCCCTAGCCACTATATCTTCGAACAGTTCGCCTCCTGTGACCCTGAAAGACAAAAGACCAGAGAATGAGAAGGTGGACTTCAGCAGCCATTCCTGTCTGGTGTGGGACAGGCAGTAGTCACTCAGAAGGAACAATGTCTTATAAAGCATGCAGGAGAACAACCTAAAACAATACCACCTCACACTGAGTACGCCATAAACACACAGGGTGAATTGTTTGATTGGCATTACTTAAGTTGACAGATGACAAAGTAGACACAATTTATGGATAACAACTTCTTTAATACTGTAAAGGCAACTTTTCGGTATAGATCCTTACACTGTTGTCAAGCCTTTACAGTATTAAACAAGCATGAAATACTCATATCCCCTGCCAATATGACATGTTCGGTTGTCTGCAATGCATTAGCTCCTGTGAACTATGTTCACTGGGCCTTTTTGTAAATGGCCTAATTGCAGCACTAAAAAAGGTTATTACTGGTGTTGTTTTACCATCTGCAGTTTATGATAGAATATGTAACTGTATTTGTAATGAGTAAGGATGAGACATATGGACAAACAACTTCTTTATTACAATTAGGAGCAATGGTTTTGGTGTAGATTCTAACACCGTTATCAAGCAAGTGAAGTACAGAGTATGGTTGACAAGAATATATACAGGATTTTCAAGATCTGCTCCGGAAACAAGGACTACCACCATTTTCAGTCTAAATCAAAGTCATTGCTATGGAAACTCAAAAATTTTTTTTTTTTAAAATCCCAAACTATCAAAAGGCACCAGTTCACCACTAGACCTATCTATGTGCCAAGTTTGGTGAAGAAATATGGTACGTTTTTCAAGATCTGCTCCAGAAACGAAATGTGATGGATGGACGGCACCCATTCCTATATCCCCCTTCCACTTCGTGGCGGGGGATAATAAGTTGTAATCCATTAATTTTGTCTACTTTGTCACATAGGGGGTGTTCTGTAAAGATAAAACATGATAAAAAAAATGTCAACAGAATTCCTCGTGTTAATAGTATATTTACGAAATACTTAACAAAATATAACTTGCTATCAATCTTATACCAGTGGGTGAGTGAGTGAGTTTGGTTTGAGTCAAAGCATAGCATATCAGCCATGCTTAAATGGAGATCTTAGACTTTGGTGCAAGCCACAAGCATAGGTATGGTGCTGACAAACCTAGAAACAATCAGGGCGAATTTGGGATCGAAAACAATATCATAATCTTCTGGCACGCTTAAGGGAGACAACTGTGCACCGCAAATGGCCCTTGAATGACTGGGCCATCCTATACCAAGTCAGTTTGTGCTACAATGGCTGGACAATACAAACAGTTACTTGGCACCAATGACTTTGAAATAAAGCTATGGGTAGACAACCTCTTTATTAAGCATCAAAAAGGATTCTAGTCACCAGACTGTTTATTACGGTTTATCATAACTTCATGTAAGAATGATGAGATCTGACTGGTCAATATGATCTTGATATCTTGATAAAATACTATGTATCCCACCTTGGAGGGAAATAAATTTCTCAGCTGGAGAATAAATCCCTTATACCCCCTACAAGCAAGTCAGGCTGCACGTGGATTTCTGAGAGGCAGAATAAATCCCTTATACTCTGCTTCAAAGCAAAAAGCTGCATGCTTTTTCCAGGGAAATGAAAGTCACATGACATAGCACAAGTTAACCTCATTGTAATTGAACAGGTTGTAGCAGGATCACAAGGGGTACATGGGGTAATATGTGTATAAACCCTTCTGACTCGTGCTATAAAGCCTAATGTGGGATGCATAAAACCCTGTACCCTGAGCGATCCTGCTACAACTTATTATGTGCTTCTTGGGGAACTAAAAGTTTTTTCACAGATACAGACATTGGTTCCTTGTAGACATGTCATACAACCTAGACATAACCTAGACATATCCTAGACACACCCTATGCATGTCCTGCTTATCTTTAATCCCAAGCATCAGTACTGGATCACACACACATTCCTATATACTTCATCAGAACAAATTCAGCTCATATAAACATTGGTTTCTTTTCTTATATTCCAAAACAAAACTTAACAGCTTGTCACCATTCATTTTATCACGTCATTTATCAATTGTTGTTTTCGTCTTACAAACTCCAAGACACCATGTTTTTACCCCCTTCAAACCTGCAGATAACTAACATTCACATGTTTTTGTAAACCTACATAATCTAGCCAAAGGATCAATAGACAAGACAATTTCTAAGATTTTGTGGTGTGAAATATATCTATGATAAGAAGAGGAATTTGGAAGTGTTCTTATCTTCTAGAAAACGTCTAGAATACAACTCAACATAGCCCCTGGCATGTGCCTCCTCAGAAGTTGAAGAACTTACAATTAACTCCTGTTTTGTTAGGCAAGCTCCTGTTTGCAAATACACACATACACACGCACACACTGAGAATCCGGCTCTATTGAAGCCAGGTGATGTACACTTCAATCTGATCAGCATGTTGGTGATATAATTAAACTAATAGGGACTACAATTAATCTCAGGCATGAAATATGCATTCTCCAGCTCCCTTGTTTTGTATTCAGAGCTTCTTTGACACATTGACGTTGACCGCAAATTGTAGAAGTGTTCTGACTTGCAGACACAAACAACTTTGTTATTCACTGTTGAAAGTGAGTGAGTGAGTGAGTGAGTGAGTGAGTGAGTGAGTGAGTGAGTGAGTGAGTGAGTGGTAAAGCATGCCTTCATCTGAGGAATGAGGATGCTCTAACGACTACGCTACCCAAACTGTCCCAACAAGTGGGGAATCGTACACTGGTCTTTGATGAGACAAGCTAATGCTCTAACGACTTCGCTACCCAAACTGTCCCAACAAGTGGGGAATCGTACACTGGTCTTTGATGAGAAAAGCTAATGCTCTAACGACTTCCCTGCCCAAACTGTCCCCACAAGTGGGGAATCGTACACTGGTCTTTGATGCGACAAGCTAATGCTCTAACGACTTCGCTACCCAAACTGTCCCAACAAGTGGGGAATCGTACACTGGTCTTTGATGAGACAAGCTAATGCTCTTACGACTTCGCTACCCAAACTGTCCCCACAAGTGGCGAATCGTACACTGGTCTTTGATGAGACAAGCTAATAATCTAACGACTATGCTACCCAAACTGTTCCCACAAGTGGGGAATCGTACACTGGTCTTTGATGCGACAAGCTAATGCTCTAACGACTTCGCTACCCAAACTGTCCCAACAAGTGGGGAATCGTACACTGGTCTTTGATGAGACAAGCTAATGCTCTTACGACTTCGCTACCCAAACTGTCCCCACAAGTGGCGAATCGTACACTGGTCTTTGATGAGACAAGCTAATGCTCTAACGACTATGCTACCCAAACTGTTCCCACAAGTGGGGAATCGTACACTGGTCTTTGATGAGACAAGCTAATGCTCTTACGACTTTGCTACCCAAACTGTCCCCACAAGTGGCGAATCGTACACTGGTCTTTGATGAGACAAGCTAATGCTCTAACGACTACGCTACCCAAACTGCCCCTACAAGTGGGGAATCGTACACTGGTCTTTGATGAGACAAGCTAATGCTCTAACAACTTCGCTGCCCAAACTGTCCCAACAAGTGGGGAATCGTACACTGGTCTTTGATGCGACAAGCTAATGCTCTTACGACTTCGCTACCCAAACTGTCTCCACAAGTGGGGAATCGTACACTGGTCTTTGATGGTTGGCGTATATACAGATGAAATATGCATGATATGGTTGGGATAATATAGAAAACGTATCAGATACGCATCCCAGCATACATGTATGGCCTAACATTCATTTATTGACATATTTCTCAAAATTTTTATTCTGATTTCAAGCAGTGTATTTTCTTGAGTATAGTGCGCACTTTTCCCCAAAAAACACAGCTGTGTAAAAGGGGTGTGCATTGTACTCGTTATAATGAGTTTTGATGTTTTTCCCCCCCAACACTATGACATTACCGTGAGCATGTAACACTGGAAATACCAATGTCAACATATCTATACTAAATTTTCAATGAAAAAATACAATTTAAACGGTAAATCAACATGTCTGGTGATTTTTTACCTCAAATTTCAAATTTGTACTGACCAAGTTTCTCATCACCCATTCGTTTACCAGACTTCGCTGAAGGGGTACGTACAGTGTAATTTTTTTCTGCACATCATATTCAAATATTCTTTTTCCAAAATACTGGATCTGCTAGAGGGGGGTGCGCATTATACTTGGGTGCGCAATATATTCAAGAAAATATGGTACACAAATTAATCATGTAAGTACACTGTCTGGCTACAAAAAGTCTTCATTGTATATCTGGACTTATGTTTAAAACCTATTTTAATAATTTTATTCCAAGTTTCATTCAATATTGTTTACATTAATCTGGCAAAATCGATGCACAACTCACTGTGATTTACAGCAACCACGGTCAGATTACCGTTACTGACGTTATGGAATGAACTTTAGTTGATAGAGAATGGATACATATGTCATAAATGCCTACTTTGAATTATTAAAAGTCATTTTTGTTGTAGTTTGAATGTTATATGTCAACATAGAGCTTTCGCAAGAGAGACTCAAAGGTTATTGTTTATATTGTTTCATACGTAAACAATATCCGGCAATAGCGCTCATCTGTACCAAAGTTAGTGCTACACTTATGGTTATTTTAATGTTAAATATATATACAGTGATGCTGCAACTAGGATATGAGTAACGCAATTTTGGAATATATTATTCCTGATTTAATAATAGTTACAGGTACAATTCTTAAGATCATTGCATCAAACTTTCTTAAGTTATATTATTGGGTAAATATGACTGAATCAAGTCAGTGAGAACACGTGTGTACAGCTGATTGCTGTTTCCCACTTTGTTTATGAGAAAATACACACGGTAATCTAAATCTCTACATATAAAACAATGCCCAGTAGACCTGGAAATACAATTTAAACGTTAAATCGTCATGTCTTGTTAGGTTTTGTCTCAAATTTCAAATTTGCATTAACCAAAAAAAAAAGGTACAGTTTATTGTTTATTGATCTGTTTACACAAGAGTAGCAATGCTGTGTGGTGCATATCTAAAACTAAATATAAGATTAATCCATAAAATTCCATCCAGTACTCTACGTGTACTTTTTAGTTTTGCCATTACTCCTATATTGCAATAAGGATCGCGTACTCCTGATGCTGAAAAATCATCTGGAGCCCTGCATACATTATGGAACTGCAAAGTGTTGAGATAAGAATGGAATTTCAATGATGGATGAAACAATTGAAGTAAAAACACAGCTTAAGTTTTCCTGAAGGCATAGTTTAGCACACCTGTGCTGTGCCACGTCTTGCCCTAATCCATTGCTCTAGCACATGTTTCACCAGCTCATTTGTTTGTCGTTTACAACACAAGAAATACTACCCTACTTGTTGACTGTATTTAATCATAAAATTCTATAATTAGCTAAAGGCAACAATTTAGGCTAAACACAGTCGTTAATAGGTTATGTAGTATCAATCAATCACAACGGAAGACTCACAATACTGTAACAAGTGTCTGCAGAGATGTAGTGTAACGATTTAACCACGTCTACAATACCATTAGGCCCAACAAACCTACAGAATCAAGTGCTCATAGCTATTGTTGCCATTTTTATTACTGAAAATCAACAAAATCAATGGCTAATGTAATTTGTCCTCATGCCCTCTTTCCCGATGCCTCCCAGCCTCGCTACACACACAAGTCAGAGAGCCTTGCAGCCTCCCTGCACACCAATCTGAGAGCCTCCCTATTCACAACAGTCTGAGAGCCTCACAGCCTCCCTACACACACAACAGTCTGAGAGCCTCCATACACACAACAGAGCCCCCCTACACACAACAGTCTCAGAGCCTCCCTACACACACAACAGTCTGAGAGCCTCCCTACACACAACAGAGCCCCCCTACACACAACTGTCTGAGAGCCTCCCTACACACAACAGTCGGAGAGCCTCACAGCCTCCCTACACACACAACAGTCTGAGAGCCTCCATACACACACAACAGTCTGAGAGCCTCCCTACACACAACAGAGCCCCCCTACACACAACAGTCTGAGAGCCTCACTACACACAACAGTCTGAGAGCTTCCCTACACAAAACAGTCTGAGAGCCTCCCTACACACAACAGAGCCTCCCTACACACAACAGTTTGAGAGCCTCCATACACACAACAGTCGGAGAGCCTCAGAGCCTCCCTATACACACAACAGTCTGAGAGCCCCCATACACACACAACAGTCTGAGAGCCCCCCTACACACAACAGTCGGAGAGCCTCACAGCCTCCCTATACACACAACAGTCTGAGAGCCCCCCTACACACAACAGTCTGAGAGCCCCCCTACACACAACAGTCTGAGAGCCCCCCTACACACAACAGAGCCTCCCTACACACAACAGTTTGAGAGCCTCACTACACACAACAGTCGGAGAGCCTCAGAGCCTCCCTATACACACAACAGTCTGAGAGCCCCCTACACACACAACAGTCAGGGCATCAAACAGCCACCCTATACACACAACAGTCTGAGAGCCCCCATACACACAACAGTCTGAGAGCCCCCATACACACACAACAGTCTGAGAGCCTCACTACACACAACAGTCTGAGAGCCCCCATACACACACAACAGTCTGAGAGCCTCACTACACACAACAGTCAGGGCATCAAACAGCCACCCTATACACACAACAGTCTGAGAGCCCCCATACACACACAACAGTCTGAGAGCCCCCCTACACACAACAGTCGGAGAGCCTCACAGCCTCCCTATACACACAACAGTCTGAGAGCCCCCCTACACACAACAGTCTGAGAGCCCCCCTACACACAACAGTCTGAGAGCCCCCCTACACACAACAGTCTGAGAGCCTCACAGCCTCCCTATACACACAACAGTCTGAGAGCCTCCCTACACACAACAGAGCCCCCCTACACACAACAGTCTGAGAGCCTCACTACACACAACAGTCTGAGAGCTTCCCTACACAAAACAGTCTGAGAGCCTCCCTACACACAACAGAGCCTCCCTACACACAACAGTTTGAGAGCCTCACTACACACAACAGTCGGAGAGCCTCAGAGCCTCCCTATACACACAACAGTCTGAGAGCCCCCATACACACACAACAGTCTGAGAGCCCCCCTACACACAACAGTCGGAGAGCCTCACAGCCTCCCTATACACACAACAGTCTGAGAGCCCCCCTACACACAACAGTCTGAGAGCCCCCCTACACACAACAGTCTGAGAGCCCCCCTACACACAACAGAGCCTCCCTACACACAACAGTTTGAGAGCCTCACTACACACAACAGTCGGAGAGCCTCAGAGCCTCCCTATACACACAACAGTCTGAGAGCCCCCTACACACACAACAGTCAGGGCATCAAACAGCCACCCTATACACACAACAGTCTGAGAGCCCCCATACACACAACAGTCTGAGAGCCCCCATACACACACAACAGTCTGAGAGCCTCACTACACACAACAGTCTGAGAGCCCCCATACACACACAACAGTCTGAGAGCCTCACTACACACAACAGTCAGGGCATCAAACAGCCACCCTATACACACAACAGTCTGAGAGCCCCCATACACACACAACAGTCTGAGAGCCCCCCTACACACAACAGTCGGAGAGCCTCACAGCCTCCCTATACACACAACAGTCTGAGAGCCCCCCTACACACAACAGTCTGAGAGCCCCCCTACACACAACAGTCTGAGAGCCCCCCTACACACAACAGTCTGAGAGCCTCACAGCCTCCCTATACACACAACAGTCTGAGAGCCTCCCTACACACAACAGAGCCCCCCCTACACACAACAGTCTGAGAGCCCCCCTACTCACAACAGTCGGAGAGCCCCCCTACACACAACAGAGCCCCCCTACACACAACAGTCTGAGAGCCTCACAGCCTCCCTATACACACAACAGTCTGAGAGCCTCCCTACACACAACAGAGCCCCCCCTACACACAACAGTCTGAGAGCCCCCCTACTCACAACAGTCGGAGAGCCCCCCTACACACACAACAGTCTGAGAGCCTCCCTACACACAACAGTCTGAGAGCCACCCTATACACACAACAGAGCCCCCCTACACACAACAGTCTGAGAGCCTCCCTACACACAACAGTCAGGGCATCAAACAGCCACCCTATACACACAACAGTCAGACAACCTCACAGGGAGAATTAAAGAGCAAGGTTAACACATGGCCAAAAGTTATGAAATTTGTAAAATTAACACCACGTTTTCAGTTCTGCAACAAAAAAAACAAATACTAAATTTCATTTCATTTTGTTAAAAAATGCTGAGCAATGGCCATAGCGATTTTTCAATATGGCAGTGGACAGAACAAGCATGTGAAGTTTTAGCTTCACTGGTCAGGTGGTTTCTGAAGAGAATATGTTCACAGTGTGAGAGTGAGTATGGTTTTACGCCACTTTTAGCAATATTCCAGCAATTTCACGGTGGGGGAATACATTTCGAGAGAAATTAGGTCAAATCATGGTCAAAACTCAAATATCGCAAAAATAATAACCTGCAACATATATGCTTATGACTCACTACAAATTGCATGTACCAAATTCCATTACATTTTAGACAAGCTATGGCAGAGAAATGGCCATGAATAGGTTTTCAATATGGTTGCTGTGGTGGCCATACTGAAAATCAAATTCAAACATCTTGGAACAAATTGAGGTGTCATCAATGGTGGCAACAAGATATGTGTGATTTCAGCTTCATTGGGGCATTGGTTTCTTAGGGGAAGATGTTGACAGTGCAAAGAAATATATTTTGAGAGAAATATGGAGAATAGTCCAAGCGCAAAGGTCAAAATAAAAAATATGTATCTCAATAAACAGAACAGATGTGTACTGACCCACTACCAACTACACACATATCAAATTTCATTATATTTTTAAATTTATGATCCAAAATCGGATTTAAAAAAGCTTGAACAAATTGGTGCCGCGATTGGTGGGAAAAAGTAGTTCAAGTTTCAGCTTCACTGGATGAGTGGTTTCTGAGGAGACTAGCTTACAACACCAGAAAAAAGCCATGACGTCTGGTGAGCTAAAAAAAACTATTTACCCATTGAAGATTCTTTTGACTAAATGGTCAAATAAATAAATGATTGTTTTGGCCTAATTAAACATTATTTAAAAAAATAATAATATTAAGAACATGAACAAATTCTACATGTACATGTAATACGACACAGGTAAGGTTATGCAAAATAGTGCAATGTAATGTGATACTTACAAATCAAATACTAGGTAGTGGAACCCCTCATCCTGTATACTGTCATGTAAGCGAACTGAAAAGGATAGACAGAAATGTTATACATTTGACAACAGATAATCAATTTTCAGCTTCCATATCACACTGCTGGATGTGTGGTATCTACAGTTTATCACATTCACGGGAATCTGTTAAAGAAAGGTGAATTCAACCTAAAGAAGATAAGGACACAATCAAACAAACACAGTCATAACACCATTCCTCAACAAGTAGAAGATCTGGGGTAGAATAGGTCTTCAGCAACCCATAAAAGGTGACTATGCTTGTCGTAAGGGGCGACTAACAGCATCGGGTGGTCAGATTCGCTGACTTGGCTGATGCATGTCCTCGTTTCCCAATTCCGTGGATTGATGCTCATGATGTCAATCACAGGATTGTCTGGTCCAGACTCGATTATTTACAGACCGCCGTCATATAGATGGAATGTTGCTGAGTGCGGCGTTAAACAACAAACAAATGTAACATGTGAATGTCCCTCGCTAGGGACAGTTGCATCTGAACACAATCTAGGAAATGTACAGAATGATGTAAAATCAATTGACAAATGTTTTCTTCATATTTCAGTGGACTGAACTTGCAACTTTCATATATGCAGCCTTATCAGTGCATCATTAGGTACAGAGGTGCTGCTACATCACAATGCTACATCAGAGTCTTCTTCTTCAAGTAAAAGTAAGCCAGCAAGAGATATTTTATGCCTGTTTCCTAAGGTTCACGGAAAGTATGTTTGATACATAAGAAGGTGATAAATGTTTCAGATATATTTTCTGCTGGTACAAGTATATAGGTTTGATAAAACACTTCCTCTCAGGTTTTAATGAAATTTAAAACCCTCATCCCCATGACAACGGTTGGGCATGTTTATCTGACACATTAAATCTTTGTAGCCATACAGACTTTATTTAACATAGAATAAGGTATTTTGTGCATGTCATCTGAGCATCTAAAAAGAAAAACAAATCTTGACTAAAAGTTCACGAATCAAAGAGCACTACTATCCATCCTTGAAACTCACACCAAGGAAGTAAAAGTAACTTTGTAAACATCCTGTATGTATGTTTCATTGTTACATGTTCAGGATTTCCTTGTGATATCCTTTAAGCTTAATCTATAGCCTGTAAACTGTCACTATGTAGAATCCCACATCTAGAAAAGGGAGCCTATGTACCAGGACAAGAAATGCATGCAGTATATCGGTATGGCCACGTGTCAAAAACAGATCCTCTTGTTAGATGTGAGAAGGAAATCCTAAATATATAACAAAGAAACTGTGACATGGTTTATGCAATGCTCTTTGACAGCAATCGACGGATTGGAAAGGGAAATTATGGGAATTGACATACCAAGATTGCAAACCGATCTCATATATCAAGTATATATTACACAAAACTGGGAAATAAACTCGAATTGTTTTATTTTCTCATTCGTAATGAAATATTCACTGATAGACTAAATGTAATGAAACTGCAGGCTGTAATTGACATAATCGACAAGGTGCTCACTCCTTTAGATGCTATACATTTCATACTCGTGGTCAAAGGGAAAACACTCTCTACACAGACCAACTGTCCTTGACAAGGAGGTGAGGTGAAATTGGGTTTAACGTCGCGTCTAAGATTATTGCACTTATATAGCGATGTGCATGCATGCACGTGTGTGTGTGTGTGTGTGTGTGTGTGTGTGTGTGTGTGTGTGTGTGTGTGTGTGTGTGTGTGTGTGTGTTGTGTGTGTGTGTTGTGTGTGTGTGGCTGCTTGTACTAGTTCGGACTGATGCCGATATATGGTGCTAGCCAACTGATATACTGTTGTGGGTGAGGTAGTTGTTTCTTGTTGTTTGTTTAAAAACATAACTTAGAAATATTACAGCTATATGACGGCAGTCTGTAAATTATCCAACTGGATCAGACAATCCAGTGATTGATATTATGGCAAGCATGGGCTGCTGAAGACCTATTCTAACCAGCATCTTCAGTGAGGTGGTGAGTTGGGTTTGATGCCGTTTTGAACAGTATTCCAGTTATTTCACTATGTGTCAGTTTGATGTAGGAGGAAGGCCCGAAGTGATGCAGGTTATAGATGTTGACCACTTTGGTTCAACCCCCAACACACTGGGCTCTGTTGTGCAACAATGTTATCCAATATCAATAGCATTGTTTAACAGATAGCCAAAGTCATTTTGAACATACTAGCTTCAATCATTTCAGGGAGATGTTAATTTAAAAGAAACTTGTAAAGAATGGTGTCATATGATACAAGTTTAGAAGCAGCAATGTTGATGTTCACGTTGATACTCTACTCCATCAAGTCTCCTAAAACCTAATGCCAATTATCAGCATGATGCCATCTCTCTTCAACAAAAATGAATCCAATTTCTAAAAGAATCTGTGATTTGAAAGTTTTATAAGGCTAATTGTTTTCCAAAAGAAATTAATTTGTGAATATAGTTTTACAACTGGAGTTTACAAACTCATGTAGAAATGTCATAAAGTTTTATTTCATGGATACTTTATCCAATGATGTATCAGCTGCCTGTCTGCCATGAGAGAACGCCCCATCTGCAGCATTCAATAATCTACCAGCCATAATCTCAAAACTAATTTCTTCATTATTCCTTCATGGTGTTCAATTGGAGCACAAAAGGTTTCTAGATCTTCATCAATACCCGAGAGAAGGGACTTGATTGCACTGGCTTGTTGCTGAGACAACAAGAAGACACATGATGAGATGATAGTCTCAAAGAATATTGCAACCACACTTCCAATCACAACACTGATCACAACACTCCTCATCCATAACAAAGCTTTCAGCATCTATTACTTGTAATAATTTCCCGATTGTAGTTTTATTTTATACCAAAATGAAGTCTTGGTTTATTATGACTGATTAGTGAACTAAGGCCAGCAAGCTTCTCAAGATTGGCCTGCCAAGCAGCTTATTACTGGGCTTCTGATCTGGCTGGCTGTGCCACCTTTAACCTTTTTCACAACCCGTCATGACATTAAGGTTCTGTGTCCCTCGAATCAATAATACTTTAGCCTAAAGGTCAATCTTCAGTCAGGCAAAAGCGCCCCTTTAAACTGAGAACAAAAATGGTTATAATGGACATAACTGTTATATTTTGAAAGGAGGGTGTTTTTTAAAATTGACATTACTTCAAACATTTCTGACAGATCCTCAAAATATCCTATGAGCATAATGATTAACTGAATTCTATTGAACCAAACATCAAGGTATATTTATTGAAACTTTCTAGAAATACATTACCATATCTTTTTTAGTATAGTGAGCACCCGAGTATAATGAGCACATCCCTCAAGTGGATTCAGTATTTTGGAAAGAAAAAAAATTGAATATTATTTGCAGAAAAAAATTCCACCATACCCCTTCAGCAAATTTCGGTAAACGAACGGGTGATGAGAAACTTGGTCAGTACACTTTTGAAATTAGTGATAAAAAAATCACCAGACATGTTGATTTACCGTTTAAATTGTATTTTTTGTTCTGCTAGGCATTGTTTTACATCCAGGGATTAAGATTACCTTGCGTATTTTCTCGTAAACTAAGCCGGAAACAGCAATCAGCTGTACACACGTTTTCTTGGAATCTACCGGTCAAGACACACCCAATGATATAACTTTACAGGATTTTAATGCAAGGATCAGCAAAAATTTAATCTGAACCTATTTTTTTTTTTATCAGGAATAATATATTCCAATATCTTAGTATTTTAGTTGCAGCTTTTACTACATATAACTAAAATAATTATAACCTTAAGCGAAGCAGCTGATCACCATTGCCAGTTAATATTTTTCACATGGTACCAGTTTGACCAGTCACAGTCGAGGCTCCCACTCCATGGTATTTGAAACAACTTATCTATTCCTGAAAGTGCTAAAAATGAAGAATTTGTTCTCAGGTCTTACACCCAAGTGGGTCCTTGAACCTGCCTTTCCCAGAACAAATTGTCTAGTCTGCCTTTCCCAGAACAAATTGTATAGTCTGCCTTTCCCAGAACAAATTGTCTAGTCTGCCTTTCCCAGAACAAATTGTCTAGTCTGCCTTTCCCAGAACAAATTGTCTAGTCTGCCTTTCCCAGAACAAATTGTATAGTCTGCCTTTCCCAGAACAAATTGTATAGTCTGCCTTTCCCAGAACAAATTGTCTAGTCTGCCTTTCCCACAACAAATTGTCTAGTCTGCCTTTCCCACAACAAATTGTCTAGTCTGAAGCGGTAACTAAAAAACATGTTCTGTCGCATGACTATACCATCTTTTCATCTTAAAACTATGTCCAGCAAACCATGTTTGTTTCAACAGAACACACACAGAACACACAAAGAACAATCCTCTTATTTTTTACCTACCTTCATGCTGAGGAAGCAGCTCAAGACACATTGTCATTTTGAAAGAAATGAACAGAGCCATGAGTCTGCAGCTCAAGACTTTTGTACATATTTGTGACCTTATAGATTGATATATTTTTTGAAAATGACAAACATACAGTTTATAAAAGAGCGAAAAGTCACCATACAATTTTGTGTGTAACATGTTCTAAAAACCAGCTATATTCACTGTGTATCAAATTACACAATGATGGATGCATAAATGGAATGTGTTTGCGGGGAAGAATGGCATTGTTAACATGGCTGACATGGCAGCAGCCATGCTAAACATCAGATTGGAATTCTGTCAGGAAATATGGATACCATGAAGCCCAACAACACCAAGCCACAAACAGGTTAACATGGAGTCAGGAGAGTAATCTCATGTGTAAGACCCTGTGCATCATATTTCGATATACCCGATATTTCGTATTACTATGGTTAATCTGACACATAATCTGGTAAAATGAAAGAATTGGGTGTTCTTTAACTTCTTTTGAGTTGTGTATATAGTTTAATGTGAGTTAATGTTAATGGTGGATGGTTCCATTTGTATTATTAATTTTACACTTAAGTGACTGGGTGTTATTCCCAATTAATACTGCCATTTGTGCCACATTGGACCCCATTGTTCG